CAAACACGCGACCTCCAGGCTAGCGAGCCAGCGTCTTACCCAATTAGCTTAATGACGAACGTTACTGGATTCGGGTAGTTGAAATTCCATTATACACACCCTCGATATTTATTCATCAGGGTTATCTGGCAGTGCGTATACTTAAAAACACCAATGATAGGTGAGATTTGCCGTAGTGCCGCTTTCTCGGCAATATTTTCTTCATATCACACTTTACGGCGTTTGCCCGTATTCATTAGCACTGTCCATGCAGAACACAGTAGGATGTTAAACCAACATATCATTTCACTCACCATTCATTGGTGTTGGATAGGGGAGAGAGAAAAGGGGTTTAACGTCCACTGGTCACAAACTAGCTCATTTCGGGACAGGCCACCCTACACCTTGTCAAGAATCGAAACCACGGCACTTTATTCAATGACAGACTTTCTGATACAGCGCACACGCGTTAACCTCTCGGCCGCCAAATCCCCAAGTTGATTAAGGTGTTAGAGGGAATGTTGACTACAGAAAACCCGAACCGTGGAAATTATATATTTAAAACTGACTTCATGTGGACGTATATTGTTTAGATCTCAAAAATCTTGGTTCCTTCCTTTCGATATTCGCGCATATCGGACCGTAACCTCCTGGATTATGTCCCCTGATTGTACGAAAAATCACGATTTTAGCTTGTGGACCCTCTGGAGTCTACAATTTTTATCCGATGTTCACAAATATCACTGTTACACCATAATGATGTTTGACTTTGACTTTCTGTCGACTGCTATCACTATTATATAGAATACCTAACATCGGGGACTACTAATAGCCCGGTTAACCAAAATAAGAGAGAGTTTTAACGTCCACTGGGACACAAACATACGGTTCAGTTAGTTTTATTTCAATAAATCAATTACGCGTAGGGGTTTTTAGCTATGGGAAGAAACCAGAGTACCACGCCTTTAGGCCTTCTGGTTTATTTTTTAAAAAAATGATTTATGCATATTAATTTTTTTCTCGAAATAATCACCATTTGTTTGGCGCAATATAGCCTCGTTGGTGCTGACGTGACATAAAAGAGATAAATCAAACTCGAAGAGACTTCTCTTAAACCTGATCTGAATCCTAAAATCAAACCTATTTGTAATTACAATAACACCTCTAAAGTTGGTGCAACTCAACTATTATTTGAAGACAGACCCGTCTTCATTATAGCCCAGTCGGAGCAGAAAAGAAGGGCGTTAAAGCCCATATTTTTCAAAAGAGGGTAAAAGAATGAAAAGATACACATTTAGCCTTAGGTACTAGTCCAGCCTCCACAAGTGTTCATTATACACAGTACAGTCACTATGGTAGAAATGTATATAATGTTGGTAAAACTTATTGTAGATAAAGTACTAACACTAATATTGGTAGGCCCTATTGGGGTATGGCAGGAGGAGGCCCCAAGAGGGAGACAGAGGTACAGCCAATCTCAGAACCAGAAGAAATAAATAGGAAATTGGCGAGTGCTCTTGATAATATTTCCTCATTTTTTCAATGGGGGGAATTTCTCGATATTTTAAGCAACTCACTGCATTTACTATTAACACAATATAGGGCAGGTAAATTGAAAGAGAATTTAGCTTTTTGGAAAACTATGACCTCTGATATCAATATTCTGAAAAATATATGTTTCAGCTAAAATTAATGAGATGTTAATATACCATATCATAGAGTAATCTGAACACGAAACTGGTGAATTCATCTGAAATAATTTTTACGAGAGATAAAAAACATGGAAGTCTAAAAGTTATTTTACCATTCCGAAATGGACACGCTGCAACATGCCTTAGACTTAATCAACCTTAACTGCTACATAGCATCTATTGATTGGAAACAGGCTTATTATGCTGTTAATATTTAGGTTTCTTACAGGAAATATTTAAAATTTGAATGGAATAATAATCTCTTTCAATTTCCTGTTTACCGAATGGTATTGGCTCCGCGCCTAGATTGTTTACTAAATTACCAAAGGTACTGTTTTCTCATCTGAGGAATATGGGACCTTTGAATACATTTTTTATTGACGACTGTTGTACCACTTTGGCCCTTGAGACAATTTTGGCTCTTTATAAAATTGTCTCTTCAATTTTGTTTATAAAGTCAAATCACACAGTACTAAATGTACGTGGATATAGTTGTTCGTAAAAAACAGTGATGTTTTAGTTAAATTATAATCATTGTCAAAATAGTCATCAAATTCTAGCTGTTTATTGACCTATGGTCGGTTGACCAAAAATAGGTAATGTTTCCTATCTTATTAGTGGGAAATAAAAAGTTTTATTCCTTATATGGCGTGGAAATTCACGTCAAGGTTATTGAAGACCTGGAAAAAGTAGGGGGTATAAATTAGGGTGTAGAGGAGAGCTAGATTAGAGCTCACCCAGAAATTCTTACCAGTCATTATATATTTGAGAACGAGGAACCTGCAAAGTTATTTCCAGTTTACTAATAAAGCTGTGAAATCATTGTTGCTGTAGTATTATTTACGATCACAAGGAACACAACAAATAAAGAAGTCCGGTAGTACTACACTGTTAACTAATAGGTGATAACGTTGAGAATTGTAAAACAAAATGTCATTGATACTGTCAAATGTTTTCTCAAAGCTGACTTTACAGTGCATCAAGATAAATCTGTTTTTGAGTCTACTCAGTGTATTTGGGATTTATTACAAAATCAGGCAATATGACAGTAACACTTATTGCAGAAAAAGCAATTAAAATAAATTAGTTTCCAATGATAACAAAGCAATTATCAGAAGTTAATCATGATCGTAGTGAATGGGAATTAAGCTACCGTGTATTTAGTCAGATATTTCACATTGGGGTGAACCAACAGTATTCCGCACGAGACTTAACAAGAAAGGTCCCACTTACTACTCTTTTGAGCATGATCCCGATCCTTCTGCTAGTGTTATCGACGCATTTTCAGTTTCTTGGCAAAATAGGTTTTTTTATGTCTTTCCCCCATTCTGTTTGGCTGGTCGTGTTCTTAGCAAGATTGAAGGCTTTCTAAGTCTACCCTATTGGGTTACTCAGTATTGGTATACAAAACTATTAAAGATTATTATTTCATATGCGTGGTCCCCCCTTGTCAGTGGTACTGAGAACGGAGGAGCTGGGAAGGGACAATGTATTGACATGCACGTAAAAGAACCCTTGACAGTTGGAATTCGACATAAGTGTAGGCCCCATTGCCGCTGACGCACAATTTCCCTCATAGCACACTGTATGGCGTATGTCAATCTTCACTAGCCCATTTAAATTCGTGTCTTGGCATATGGCATTATATTGAACATTCTGTGCATTCTGTCGCACTAAAATCCCAATAAACTTAAATTGGTGAACCATATAGGGGATTTTCCCCGCCTTTCGAAGAAAGTAGGGGACTATTAAAATGGGTTCGTCCGTCTGTCTGTCAGTCACGCCTTTTGGGACAAATAACTCTCCTTCTAATTGAGCTAGAACGTCCAAACTTGGTGTAGTTGTTTATTATGGGACTGCCTTTATGGAGTTCAAGGGTGAGCATTTTCTGCTAAGGGGAAGCAGAGATAAGCAATTTGATTGGTTGATGCTTTGGGACACGGTAACTTTAGTTCGAATTAAGTGAGAGTGATGAAACTTGGAGTATAGTTTATTACATCACTACCTTGACTAAGTGCGATAATGAGCAATTTGATTGTTCGGCAATCCGATGGTTTGATGCTTTGGGGTACATTAACTTTAGTTATAATTAAGTGAGTGATGGAACTCCCGAGTATAGATTCATTATAACATTACCTTGATTAAGTTCGATGGTGAGAATTTTCTGATTAGGCTTAGGAGCGATAAGTAATTTGATTGAGGTAGAATGTTTAAACTTGATGTAGATGTTCATTAGGTGAATGTCTTGACTGAGTTCAATGATTAACATTTCGAGCTAAAGCTAAGCCGAGCTAAGCAATTTTATTGGTCGATGCTTTGGGACAAGATAACTTTAATTCTATCTGATAGATAGTGATGAAACTTAGAAATGAGAAATGAAATGGAGTTTAACGCCCTACTGTTCTGCTCGGAACAGGGCTAATGAAGACGGGCATAGTGTATATTTGATAATCAATTTGGTTGCTTAATACTTTTGAAAAAAATAAATGTGCGATTACTTAATATGTGTCATCTATTTATTTTAGGATTTCGGCGGGGGCCATCAGCCTCACTGTTGGCTTGTTCATTTAAAAATGCATCCTTTGTATACTACTATTCATGGCGTCAATTTTTACGTAGAGATGTCCACACCATGATGCCTGTTGACATACAAAATTGCATGAGCCCTGGGCCCCCAAATCTCCGTCTCACAAAGTGCCCAAATTAATATATTAATCATGCATGGGATGAACCACATAGTTTTTCTTTTTAAAAAAAAAAAAAATACATCAGTAGTCAACTACTATTCATTACGTCCATTTCTACAATGTTTACGTTCTAAATGATATGAGCCAATTGTCACAGCTAAATAACCCGTAGCCTTATATCAATACCGCGTGGTTCCCCCTTGTCAGTGATCCTGGACGAAGGGCATGACAAGTACAGCTGTCTAGTCGTTCGGATGGGACAAAAAACGATCCCGTGTACACATTGGTGTGCACGTAAAATATCCCTTGACAGTTAGAATTTGATACAAGAGTATAGGCCGTAGTGCCGCTGTCCGGGCGTATGCCCGTCTTCATTAGCCCAGTTCGGACGTTAACCCCCATTTCATTTCATTTATATCGAGACCAGATTCTTTAAAACAGAACAGTGTATATTTAATACTTGGGGCACTCCTACTCATGAGACACTTCTGTGCCTTTAACTAAGGAAATGGAAACAATTAGGTCTCTTAATCGCATACCCGTCTCCAACCTATGCGAGATGAATTTTTGTGTGGCTCCTCTCGCAAGTTTCCCGGGAAACACTTGTCTGTGATATCACTCTAGGTGGACGTTAAGCTTAATGATCAGTAATCATAAGATTTTATTGATGAAAGGAACAATATTAATCTATGGAATGTTGTCAATTAGACACACTTGCTGATTCCAGTGGAAGACATTTAGAAATCCACATCTGGCGTAATGATTACCAGAGATTAACTCAGGGCCAGCAGCACCATCACCTGTACATTTTTGATGGCCGATATCATTCCCCCAGTTACCGTTAAGAAAACCCTTCATTTCAAACCATCCGTTCTCTGTCTGATCACAATCCATCATTATATCCAACATCCAGTAGTGCATGCCCCATCTGTAATATATAACCATTATAATGCCTACATCTTGTTTAAGAATTGAAACAAACAAGGATTCCAAGGCTGGAGAAAGAAGCGTTATCAAATGATTTATTCGCCTTGGGAGACTGAAGCTGGTGCTATAAATATAGAACATCACAACATGATATCTATGCATTTTGCAGTATTATTTTCTATGACAACCACAGTTCTAATTCTCGTCAAGGGTCGGTAACGGGGATGTCATCATACTATAAGTAGCTGTTTAGGGTCACTAGTATTGCTCTATCCAATGTATCTAAAGGATTATTAAGACAGGAACAGAAGTTTGCGTTTTTTTGATCTCAGTCCTATACTGCACGGACAATGTGTTCTATCCGCAGTAGTGAACATCTCCCGCTGCGCGATTACCGTCACACGACCGTGCAGGAACTTTTTAATGCCACCAAAATGTTCGTGCAAATTACAGGACGTCTTTATTAGTTATCGAAATTATACAATATCTAAGACAATGTGATTGACCCATGTATAGGATATTTTCTGAAGACAACGTACTTGTTGAGAGGATTATATCCAGCGTCCCCTGTTATATTAGACGTCCAAACAGCCGGTGACCCTTCAGCAGGTTGATTCCCAAATGAACCCTGGCCTGCTTCTCCACCATAGAAGTCCAGGAAATTATCCCCAACCCTCCATGCGTTATATTTAGAGAAGAAAGCACTTGAGTTCAAATCTGGATGGTTGATTGATATAGCACATGAACTTGTGTTGGCATCCTGGGTGCAACCTGTAGTATACGGCAATGAGAGCGTAATTTAGTTTAAAGTGTCATCACAAGTCATAATCTTTGACCAACTGTAGTATCCCGTGAGAATAAGGTCAATGGTAAATGGAATTCAAATCACAGTCAGCTGGTACAACTATGAGGACTATAGTGCACTATGAGGAAAATGTTACCTGGACAGAGGCGTTTCCGAAACTCTTCATCGAATTCTAACTGTGAAGGGTTATTTTGCGTGTACGCCAACGTGTACAGTCGGACCTCGGATGTTCGCCCCTTCTACATTGTTTTTTGCCAGGCCCTCCGCCCTGCAAAACTGACATAGGGAAACCACGATGGGCGATCTAGAAGAACTTTTTCAGCAAACACCGGGATCGAAGCCGGCCCTCATCGAATTCCAACTGTGAAAGGTTATTTTGCGTGTACGCCAACGTGTACAGTCGGACCTCGGATGTTCGTCCCTTATACATTGTTTCTTGCCAGACTCCGCCCTGCAAACACTAGGGACCGGGTATCATTCAGATTTGATGAAAAAAGGGAAGAAACTGAGCTTACCATCTGTAATCTAATACACATGCAGAAAGTATTAAATACCATCAAGATTCATCAAATTACGCCCAGTTTGTGCTACCGTTTAGTTTAAGAAACACCATTTAGTTTTGACATCGGTCATCTAGTTTATGACCATTTAGTTTAGTTTTGATATTGGTCATCCAGTTTATGACCATTTAGTTTCATAAACTAGGTAACCGATGTCAAACTAAACGGTAGCACAAACTGGGCGGTTTTTGATGAATCTTGATGGTATTTAATACTTTCTGCATGGCAATCTATTAACTGAATATGTGTATTAGATTATAGATGGTAAGCTCAGTTTCTTTCCTTTTTTCATCAAATCTGAATGATACCCGGTCCCTAGTGAAAACTGACATGGGAAAACCACGATGGGCGATCTCGAAAAACTTTCTCAGCGAACAACGGGATCGAAGCCGGTGCATCGTGACTCAACCCGAAGACGTGAAGGTAACTCTTCTGTGATCAGTGAAATGAAATGAATTGAAATCGGGTTTAACGTCCTACTTCGACAGGGCTAATGAAGACGCCATACAGTGTACAATGCTGGAAATTTGGCCCGGGCAGCGACACTACGTCTTAATCGAATTCAACCTGTTACGGGTTCTTTTACTTGCACGCCAATGTCTATACGCTGTCTCTTCCGTCCTGCACCGCTGACAAGATGGCATCACGCGGGAAAATCCCGATGAACTTTCTCAGCCAAAGTTGGGATCAAACACTGGACCTCGAGGTTTGCGAGGCAACGTCTTACTCATTGAGCGAAGTTAGCGATACACATGAATCACTAGTAAAGGCAATTACGATGTTGATTCTAATCACCAACAAAGAACATTACGGACATGATCGTTCAGGCGTTGTATCTGATAACAATTGTTGTGTCGACCTACCTGAACGAAACTTATGATCTATTCCGCCTCTTATAAATACGTCTTCTCCTGGCGAGGTTTGTTTCTCCAGGAAGATGACTGTTCGTTGAAGTCCACCTGAATCCAAAAACGTATTTAAGCTTAGAAGTGCGATCCAAACTATAGATCGGCATGCTTTCTGAGAAAATTGTTCGTACATGGAGCATGTAATCAACTGCGGGGGTTTACTAGAATTAAATATGACGTTTATTGTGTGATCAATAATTTATTATTACAGGGCAATATAGATAGATATTGTTGTAATGTGATCATTTATTAACTCTAAGGGGATGCTCGATTGTCAGTCAGGAATGTACAGAATTGACAATATGGGAATCGAGTGACGCGGAATTCAACCTTGTCGCAGTTCTGTCTTTCCCGGCTACTAGTGTGAATAGAATCGTGTTGTAATTAAACACAACGAATATGTTTCAGCTGTCATGGTTGGGTGAAATATTTCTTATGCTGTCGACGCATACGCTGTAGCCTGAATTCCCCTTCTCACTCGATTTTCACTATTTTGGGGATTGAGAGAACTCAATTCGGAAATGTTCAATCGAGTATCCCCCTGGAAGTAACTATAAACTGAAGGGGAGTAACTCTATAATTTATAGACAATGATCGGAATCAGACCACTGTTATCTCTTACAAACATCAATGTATGACAATAGTATGTATGTAGCTCACCATCACAGTTTTCTCCGTTGTACCGTGTCAAACAATAACAATCACTGTCAGCTGATGAGCACATACCGTTATTCTTACATCGATCAGGATCACAAATAGGCACTATAAATCATATTTCACAGTAAGGTCAGTTTATTGGTATTTAAAATGTCCTTTCTTATTATAGACACACTTGTGAACGGTAATTTCTACTTGAAATTTCAAATTAGTAACTTGAAATTTCAAATTAGTAACTTAAAATTTCAAATAAACTAGAAATATAATAGACTTAATAATTTGAAATTTCAACATAGTAACTTCAAATTTCTACTTAGTATCTTGAAATTTCTACTTAGTAACTTGACAAGGCAACCAGTATAAAATTGACAAGTTAAAATTTCAGGATATTATGGTGAAATTATATTAGGAAATAAACAGTAAAACGATCCTATGAAAACCCCGTACAATATAAATTAATTCGCAGTTGTTTCCCACATATTCACAATGACAATGACAGAATAAAAAAAAGGTTTGCCAGTTGTAGTTAATACAACATTTATGGATAGAGAGAGGGGGAAAGTGGTTAACGTCCACCCGACACAAACTAGCATAGGGTTCAGTTTTATTTCAATATTTCTTCGCGTTCGCTTAGCGGTCCTTAGCAACGAAATGAAAACCAACGCCGTAGGACAGGTGACCTTACGCCTTGTCACGTACAAGCGGGAGTATAATAGCTTACCGTCACAGTTTTCTCCTAAATACCCAGTAGTACAGTTGCAGCTATATCCGGTACCAACTGGTGAACAAATACCACCATTTTGACATGGGTTAGGGAGGCACACATTTTCTAGAATTATTCACATAAAAAAACGTGCATATTGAGATATTTAAAAAATGTTAAGTTCTAAAAAATTTTTAAAAAAAAATACGTCACTGACAAATATGTTTAACGAACATCGTGTGACAGTGTTAATGTTTGTACATATTTCATGGTGAAATATTTAATTAACATATTCTAAAATTAAAATTTAAAGCATGTAAATTACGAAAGGGAGTTAGCTATTTGAGATTCTGAAATTTAAATGTGCAAGTTCACGTTAGCACCTGTGAAACCCGTCATGTTTGCATCACAGTTATTGTGGGTCATATGCATATAAATGTTGAAAAAAGACAATGCTTTCAAACCGAAAATACATTTAGAAGAAGATTGGGTATTTAGTCTGCTTATTAAAGCCATGGGTCGTATTGTGAAATTTTGATCTCTAAAAGGAATGTCAAACCAAAAATGGTTCAGTATTTACAAAGGTATGATAAATGGAAAATTTTGAAACACTATAGTCTTAATCTGTAGATGATATAAACCGGTCAGCGCCACCTATACGAGTTAGGTATATTCTTTCGATACGATCGATCATCTACCATTGTTAAATAATCATTTCAACGTGGATTAAGCCGTGAAATTTTAATATTGTCCCAAAATTGAAGATCTGTGGTTTTAATAATTTTCCTCAAATTACAGTGCGGAATTACAAATTCATAATTTGAAACGAAGGCGGTTGAAAAATAAAAGATTAACTGTATCAAAAGCAACAGAGAACTACAATTTAAAAAATCGTAATAATGATTATAAGTAAAAGTCATTAGGAACACGTGTCAAAGCAGTGCCGTTGCTGTGAAACATTTATGAACACTCTAAAATGGTTCATTTAAACAATTTTCCTCATTATGAGATTTAAACTGTGTTGATATACACTTCCCAAGTAGTTTCGAAATAAACCTAAGGTTGTAAACAGGTCTATGATATTTTAGAAGATTACAACCAGAGAGTATCCTACTGGACCGTAAGAGATGTAGGCGAATTAATACTGTCGCTAAAGGACAATATTGGTCTCAGTCATTATCACATATGTGATAGAACTGATTAAACACGTTCCAAATATAATTTTAACACGGAGATCATTGCTACGATAGATGTGTTATGAAGATTTCAAGAAACGGAAGTGACGAACGCAAAAGGAAAACACGAGTTATCCCTCTATATAACTGACGGAAGTGACGTGTGATAAAAGTTACACTGGCGAATTTCTGCTCTCTAATAAATCCTTCGAAGACCAAACTTTGTTATAAGAGACTGTGGGGGGACATCCGACAATTCAAAAAAATAATTGACTGTCATAGATAACGAGAAAAATGGGAAAAAATCCGTGCATTGCGATGTTTTTATTAAGAATAGAATGAATAAAAACAAGGGAATGTACGGATTCTTAGGGCAGCGATTGCTTGTATTTATTTAATTTAATAAACCATCGGATACATTATATAAACTGACAGCCCACCTTAAACTAGTCAGCAGTAAATATTTGCTTGGCCACTACCATCACTGAGAGAGATGACATGGGGGCGATTTTATTAGCTCTCAATACTTACTTTTTTTCCTATGGCAAATTAAATTCTATAACATTTTTTTTTAATTTAGTAAGGAAAAAATAAGTTGATTTTTTTCTAAACAATATTTATTCACAAAAACTGGATTGGGAAACAGGCAGAAATCTATAGACCACCTCTCCAACAAAAATACAAACATAAATATATATTGAAAACAAGAAAATTGGAAAAAGTCTGTGCATTACCATATTTTTTATTAAGTATATAATGAATTTAAAAAAAGTAGAGAATGATTAAATTATGAGATGGTTATATTATACACGATATGTACAAACCACTATCAAAAGATTTATATTTTATACATTTTCATACGGAATTTTTAAAATCTTTGGTAGATGTCCAGGAAATTATGTACTCCAGAACAAATATCTTCAGAATTGTTTTTGTCTTCAGTTCCGAATAATAAATTTTGAGAATTTTGATAAAGTTGTGGAAGTTTTGATAGTGTCGCAGATCGTACATCTGAATCTAAGGGGCAAATTAAAAGAAAATGTTCAAGTCTTCAAAAGCGTAACCACAATCGGGTGTAGGGCTATCAGAAACATGTCTGGAAAACGATGTCCGTTTAAATCATCGATAGAGAATCGAAAGCGAGAATGGTGAATTTGATTTTTCCTGCCGCCAGAGTGGCATATTGAAAGTAAAAAAGTTTAGATTTAAAAGAGGATAAAGTAGGTAAGTTCTAGTAGAAAGATCGTGCAGATTCCATTCGGTAATTGTAGATGGTATAAAAGAAGAAGAAAAAGTTCTGCAGAAATATGGTGGGACGTTGCTTTGGTTTCGTAGGCGATAAGAATTTATATAGGGTGGTATCAGTTGAAACAAGTATTCGGGAGTGATATGGTTTATGATTTTGTACAATAAAATTAATTTATGTCGCCTTCTCCTGCAGTGTTATAAAATCACTTTCCTTAAATAACAATTGGTGACTTTTATCATTCATAGCACAGCATATAGTCCTGAGTGCATCTAATTGTAAAAGTTCTAGTTATGTGTTAGTTCGGCGGCACTCCCATCCCAAATAACGTAACAATAGTCGAAATGAGGAAGAATATAAGAGATATACAGGGTTTGGAGAGATCTACGACTTAACCTATACTTTAATGAGCGAAGACAGTTTACTAGTTTACTTAATTTAACCAAAATCTTATTTATATCAATATGATACTTGTAGTTTGTTTGCAAAGTCAGCCCAGGATGTTGGTGCTCAGAAACTTCTTTAATTGCACCATTGTCTAGATTTAGTGTCGGAAGAAATGGATTCTTTTTATTTGCTAGTGCTAGTTTTACAGTTTTCAGCGGGTTAAAAGATACAAGCCACGTCTTAGCCCAAATATTTATTCTCTCTAGATCACCATTTAAGACTTCCGCAAATTCGGTTGAGTCAGTTATTTTTATATAAAAACTAGTGTCATCAGCGAATAATCTAATGTTTGATTTGGTGCTCTTTACTATTGGGTTGCTGTATATAATGAAAATGAGCGGACCGAGAACGCAGCCCTGTGGAAATAAGGTTGTTGGAAATATATCTGGATAAACACTATATCCTATTTAGTTTTAATAGTATCATAAAATATCCGACACAAAGCACTGTTATGGACGCCTTATGATGTGAATATACGGGTCACAAGTCTATGGAATACAATTACTGAGCAACGTTTCGAGTAGCCTAGTCGAAACGTCGCTCAGTAATAAATGGTAATTGTATTCCATAGAATTGTGACCTGTATATTCTAGTTTAATTACTAATGCCATTGAAACAATGTATGATGTGAAGTCACACGTAGATCTATACTGCGCGTGAGCTTAATGGTCGATCATCTTGCTTACAGTTAAAAATGGGCTTCCGTATTACCTCTCTGGAACAGATTGAACCCACTGTATAATGTAATAGACAAATAACGGAGTGAAAATCTTTAAAACCATCCAAATAACTCACCTTTGCAGCAGGATTCACACAGATGAGCATTTTTTACCTCTGAGCAACTGATGCATCTTGGATTTCGCATCGGTCCATATAATGACGAAGGCCACCTCCTTGTATTTCCAGAAACACACTCAACAATGGCCACGATCAATCCAATCAACAAAGCAACACGCATTGTGATAATATTTGTCGATACGTAATAGAATACTTGAAATGACTGTTGGCTACGACGCGCTACTCTTGTTTTATACATATAAATTGACAACAGATGTTGTTTTGATACCTCTCTTCAATTTTCAACAAAACATTTTTTTTAGATCTGTGTAGTAAATATTTTACGTCCATCTGAGCCACGGTGACTCAGTGAGTAAGACGTTGGCTCGCTAACTTGGGGTCTCGTGTTCGATCTCATCGGAATTTTCCGGCGTGGTTCCCCGTTGCAATCGTCGATAGTGCAAGACGGAGGGCTTAGTAGTAGGTCGCTAAACCCCATTTAATTTCATACACTTTATTTTTACCTTTCAAAGAAAAAATTACTTTTCTTTTAAAATCACGATCTTGAATTTAAATCAACAATTAACATATATCAGTACGTCCATATATAGATATCAAAAATTTGTTTTAACACGTTCCTGAGAAATAATCAATTTTGTCTTAATGAATTCTCAAGGGTGTAGTTTCTGTAAAAGAGTTAATTACTGCCCGATTTGCATCATCATTATCATTTGGGACCCAATGCCTGTTGTGATGATACCAGACCAATTTAACAGTTGTATTGTTAGCGGTAGTGATATCAGTTTGAAAAAAATATATTGAGTCATGCTCGTTATTTGCTTAAAATTTAGATTTCTGAATCCAATCTACAAATAGAATGAATCAATAGGATCACATATACAAATATATATACATGCTCAGTTGCCTAGAAGTAGTCTATTTTCCATTGATCATTATCAGTCAGTTACTAAAGCTTAAACAGGGGTTAATTCTGTCAAATTCTAAATATAATCTGTGCGATGTATTGGACATTTTTATAATCCAATTAAATTATCTTGTTGATAATGGAAAGGGAATTTATGTAATCATATTGACAAAAACTATCTTTTCTGAAAAATACATATTAATATTATATATTATTATTATCTCCAAGAAATATTCAATTGACCAATATTTGATATAAACCAATGCCATTCAAAATGTATATTAAATTTATTATTTTCACGTAAATTGGCCAGAGTTATTGTGTTCATAAAGGCGCTATGGACAGACTGACAACTGGTAAGCCAGCGTAGGAAACGTTACTCAATCAGGCCAAAAATCTTCCAGCATTTTGGCATTATTGTCTGTATCATTACTGATATTTTTAAATGCTATTCACAATTGATTTTATAGTAGTGGTGGGTGCTATGCACGAGGCAGAGTATGATTAAGGCACATGATACAACTTCCTTATTGTGGTATTATTAATACATTCTAATTGGCTAGAGGTTGCCTTCTCGATAAGGCAGTGGCTCAGTGTTTAAGGCGCTGACACGCCGAGGTCTTGTATGTATATTATTATCGCTTCATTATCGTATGTAGCGCTATATTACATACAAAATGTTCCTAAGCGCTTCACTAAAGACTAATAACTCTGTTTGAAAAGATGAGTTCTCAGTTTACGTTTAAATATAGGATACTAATTTGGTTGTCTAATGGTTACAAGAAGAATGTTCCAGAGTTTGGCTGAATTACAGGGGTATGAGAATTGGCCAATTCGTTAGTTAAATTTTGGGATCGAAAGGCGAGTTCTGTAATCGGCTGATCTCAGATTAGATCGTTGGTTGGAATAATATTGATGTGCACATAAAAGAAATTACAAATAAGAAACGTAGCGCAACTGTCCGAAATAAATGTCTCTCAAAGCACAATTCTCGATAAGGGATTTCTCTATCTGTTAGTCACCATAATATCACGTTAACTTTCTATCATACGCACTATTTCATTGATTTTTTGTATTGGAACATTAACACAACCACATTCTTCATTCTTTACATGTTTAGGGCTTGTTAAAAAGAGCTATATCATAAAAAAGCTATTGTGAAAAGAGAAATTTTACATGTATTTAATATTGATTTTGAGTGCAATGAAATGAAATGAAATGAAATGAAATGGAGTTTAACGTCATAACTTTCGGCACCGGCTGGACTAATGACGACGTACATACAGTAGGACATTAAACCTCATATCATTCATAAACGGGCGAAGTCATTATTTCATTTCATTAGATTTCCTGTATTAACCAGCCCCTTCGAAATATGTGACCTATCTGCGTCCAGGTTCTTGATGATGAAGGGAGGATTTGGATATTTTACATTTAGACGCACTTCTTCGGGCTTTCGTTACTTTCTCGAGTTCATCGAATTTGCTTTGTAATTCCACAGGTTTGTTGTAGAGAATATCCCCTTTCTGGTTTGGCACGTCCCGTATGAATTCACCGCGGTTACCTCTTGTCAGTGGCCCAAACACGGGGGGTGGGGGCTGACAAGAAACAGCGTATAGTGGTTCGAGTGGGACGAAACCGAGGTGTCGTGTACACATTGGCGTGCACGTATAAAAGAACCCTTGGCAGCTTGCATTCAAATAAGAGGAGACCGTAGTGCCGCTGGCGGGGAAAACCTTCCCTCATAGCACACTGTGTGGCGTATGCCTGTCTTCATTAGCCCAGACGGAGCAAAACAGTGGGACATCAAGCCCAATTTCATTTTAATACAATGGATTCCACATAACCCAATACTCTATAAGTCCGTCTGGATAAATCTGTATACCGCTAATCCAATATTTTCCATTATATTCGAAATTAAAAACAGGAACTTAGAATTCAATATGTGTTCATTACAATCAAATGTGTTATCTTGCCGTAAAACTATGAAATCCTAATATCTAATATTCAAGACACAATGAACATTTTAAAATCAGCACACGAGTCGTGTACTCAATGGTTTTAGGCGACATTTGTAATGAACAAAGAAGATATCTCAAAAGACAATGATGGAGTAATTAGTAATGGCTGATTCATAAAAGAAAATAATGAAGAAAAAATAACGTGTAGAATGACGTAAGCAGGCGTAAAGACTGCAGTGAATATGGACTGTAATGTCACCGAACATAATAAATTAGAAATTACAACAGATTATTATTTCTTTTTTAAATTGAATATAAATCACTTTTGACCCTATGACGTCAGGCATTGATAAATCAATCACCGCTTACGTTTCTAGTGGATTACCCCCAGGTCCGTGCATCGTACGCCAAGAACTCGCCGTAACAGACCGTTTCATTGGCTAATTCCTCACTTTAACCAGAACGCGGGTTATATAAAAACTCTTCTTGATTCTGTGTTGTGAAGACAAGTAAAACGAAATTTTGAACTATAACAAACAAAACGAAATATGATCTGTTTTTAATTAGATTGACCAAAGTGCATTTCAGTTTGTTAGTTAATAAATGTAAACTAAAACCTATGCCTCGAATTCATTAAAATTAACAAAAAAATAATAAGATTGGCCGTTTGGGTCGAGAGAGAGAGAGCTTGCAGCTAGGCGACCCCACTCTTTATGGCGTAAAAGCGGGAACTCGATACCACGCCACTTGATTCAATGACAAACCTTGTGATCTAACGCGCACGCGTTAAACCATTCTGCCACCCAACCTCGTGAGAAATGAAATGAAATGGGGTTGCCTAGTCTTTATCGAATTCCAAATCTCACGGGTTTTTTTAACATACACCAGGGACCTCTTTCCTCGCCCCAACCAACAAACGACGCTGTTCCTTGTCAGTACCAATTAATAAATTAAGCCCATGGATTAAAACAGTATTGATTTATAAATGTATTAATGTACCTTTAAACAGTATTCATCATTTTATTAGATCGTGTTTGATCCAGGAATCAGTCTACTATGGATCTCTATCAGTAAGACTATCAATGTAATAACCAGCCCGGTTAAAGCTGCCACAAATGCACCCAAAATATCATCTAAGTGTAACGAACGTTTCTCTTCACTTATTTTACAAGTTAGTGGCCGATTATCTTTATACAATCTCTGCGTTAAGTACGTTACAAATCCATTGTCAGATAATCTACTCATTGCCAATTCTAGATCAGATTTTAAATAGGAATCTTTGGTCACTGCAATGGCTGTTGGTAAATTTGAATAGATTTGATCAATAATCTTTAGATTACAGATATGTCTTTTCGATAGTTCATATTTGGAATCGGCAGTGATAAAAACATATTTTTCTCCAGGTTTTAGAATCTTGTTTATATGGAAATCGATATCCATCTCAAAAGTACTCGGATCCGTTTTATTAAATTCCACCAATCCAGCCCATAATCGCTTTATCAAGGGGTTCTTAGACTTTTCCATAACTGTTTTATATAAACCAAACCCACGAATTCCCCATTTCCAATCTGTTAGCTCAACAAGTTCCTCTAAATTGTTAAATGGTTTCCTAGATTTGGTAGCCGTTATTGAGGCGGTTAAGTTACCAACATAAATCCCAGCTAGAACGACAGAAAACATGGAAAAGGAAACCAACAAAACTCGAACCGGCACCTGCTTAGTTTCCATGCCGTTCCCGCGAACAAATAACACACCAAACAGAGATATGATAATATTTAGCATACGGAACATTCGATCTCTCATTCTATCACCTCGGGGTAACCCACTACAATATACGGCTAATATATAAATACACATTGCTACAAGAACGACGGTGACTAGCATAGTTAAATAAACATAACGTTGAAATGGACGAAATATCTTAATCCATTTCACTTCCATGTCTATCTCTGTCCTGTACAGCGCTCCCCAACTACTTACAAAAAATGGCGGTAGAATAAAATCGACCACCGCTGTTCGATCTTCAGTGGTAATTAAATCTGCGATGACCAAATCCACTTCCTTTCGATGCAACTGACCAACCATCCCTGTCCACTCCCCATTCTTTTTTTTACTACCATAATCTCCGTCCACTGGTAATTCAAAAGTAAAAGTAAAGTTTAGATAATGGGCCAGTAGTTCGGCTAACTCTACAGTAAGCCCCGTGTAGACTTTTTCATTTCTTTCATCAACATTTGTTTGCAAGAACTTCGACACGACTGTGCCTATAATGAGATGGCGTCTGTTATGCTTATATTTTATATTTGGAAACAACAAATTGGCTGAAGAGTTCGATTGCTGTAGTGAGT